TCCTTTATCTTCTGTGTTATTTCTCGAAGTTGCTTGTTTTCCCTTATAAGAGAAATTTTATGTTCAAGAAGTTCTTGGACAAGATATTCATATATGTTGCAGTTCTTTTTCAGCTTGGTGACCCCTGTTATCCATTCTTCTGGAGTGTTTCCTATGCCAGCATTTCGAAAGGCTTGACTGATCTTTTGGAAATCTGTATGCATGATTTCCACTTCTCTGCTCAATTTCTTGTTTTGGTCATTCAAGTCCTTCAAATAACATGCTTGAGCTTCATAAAAACCTCCTCTACTCTGAATGCCCTGATTGATGCTCTTACCATAGACTACTTTTGGTATCAATATGGCAGAATCTTTGTGGAGTACTTTTGGTATTAATATAATAGGATCTCTGTGTGCATTGCTCGTTTCTATCTTCAGAGTTTCTTCAGGATGTCTTTCCTTATCCGTATCATATTTTGTTTGATCATATAACTTTTTTTCCATTTACGATTTATTTCCAATTTGATGAACAGTCTTTCAAGTCAACACCTTTTGGTTATGCCATGATCATGCAATGTAGACTAAAGAATATAAATAAATTAGTGTAATGTAACATGTATGGAAAAAATAAGAAAAAAATAGAATAGTTAGTACCAAATGATGGAAAGAAAAATTCTATCTATAAAGGTATAACTACTAACCTCATGCTTTCTAGTTCCATGTTTTTTTTGGAAAAATTAACTTAACTGCATGATTTCTAGTTCATAGGCATTTAAATGAAATCAAATAAATTAAAAGCTAGAGCTTATTTCTCCTTTGTGTACACCTACTTTAGACAAAACTTTCAGCATGGTTTCGGATCGAAAGAGTTTCTAGGGTTTACAATATGCAGAGTTTCAGTTCTAGGAGTAAAGGTACCCGCATTGTCCTAGTTAGTGCCCCCTTGGGCTGCTAACCCTCAATCCTAGTCCATTACAGACCAAAGTGGATCGAGTTCAATTCGAGGGGACACATTTCTCTATGCCTGACACGGAGAATAAATTCCCACGAAGACATAGAGTATATGAACCCCGAAAGCTACTTACTAGGTCTGACACGGAGAATAAATTCTCATGAAGACGTCGCTTCCACTCCCACTTAAAAGGGACAAGCTTGATTAAAAAGCTTATTTTATGCAATGCACGTGTTGTGTGTGAGGAGAAATCTTCAAACCTCTGACAGACAATAAATAAGGAAATTTAATACTTGAAAAATAATATATTAATAAAATAATATATATAAATATTATAAAAATAATAAGTATATATAAAAATTTTGAAAAGAAAGAATTATAAATTAAATATATGAATTTTTAATTTCTAATTAATAGAGACAATTTGTAATTGATTTTAATGTTTGATTAGTCCCCAGCGGAGTCGCCAAACTGTTGTAACCGATTTTCACCCGGGTACGAAATTTTTACTTGGCGGGAAAATAAATATTATTTTAATGTTTAGGGAGTCGCCATCGGTCTTTTGGGTCAGGTAGGTCGAATACCTAAAAATTATCTTTTAAAAGAGTTTTTAAGAAACCATCAGTTTAAAAGATAAACTGGTCTGCATTTTAACCAAAAATTCATTCTTTTTAATAATAAAAAGGGGTTCATGGTCGATTACATTTGGGGAAGGATTATCACCCTCATAATGCCCAAAATTGGTACTTATCAATTATAAATTGTCTCTATTATTGAAAATTTAAAAATTCAAAAATATATTTAATTCATAATCCTGTTATTATTAATATAATATATTAATATCTATATTTTTAAACAAGATACTTATTTACTTAGAAATATTAGAAAATGGCTTCTAGCTTCTTTAAGACAGCTCTTTTCTTAATATTAAAAAATAAATAAATATTAATAAAATATTTATCTAAAAAAAAAAAAATTAGATTAATATATATAATTGATAAAAGTAAAATATTTATTTAAAAATATCAGAAAATAGACATCCAGTTGCTTTAAGACTGCCCTTTATTAATATTTAAATATTAAAAATAATACTTTTCTCTAATAAAATAAAACAATATGTGTTTTCTGGTTTTTATAAATAAGATATTTATTTATTTTTAAAATATCATAATATGACATCTAGTTGCTTTAAGACTGCCCTTTTCTTTGATATTAAAAATAAATAAATATTATTATTTAAACCAAAATATATATATATACATATGTTTATATAATAAAAATAATAATGAAAGTAATAATTTACATATATATTAAAAGTAATAATAAAATAATATTGCGAATAAATAAATAAATGAAATAAAAAAACTATAGTATTAAAATATAAATTATCTAAATTAATGAACATAACTTGAAATATTATAAAAATATAATTAATAATAGTAATTTAACCCTTAATTATTAATCAGTGATTAAAATATCAATTATTAAAATTAAAAGCTCCAATTCGAAATATTGTAAAACATAAATATTAACAATGTAATTTAACCAATATAATTATACGAGATTAAAATAAATATTAATTAAATAATAAGGGACTAAATCGGTTATTTATCCTAAAGTATGTAATTATACTGGAAAGGACTAAAACATAATATATTAAAATTCGAATACCAAATTAAAATAAATAAAAACAACTTGTAATGACTGCTTTGTAAAGATTACAAAATCAGAGGGGCTGCGGAAAGGGTTTTATCATTATGAAATTACACAGATACCCCTCCCCAAAACGGCGTCGTTTGGAGAGGGGTATATAAACCCAAAATCCGGCCCCTAAGGGCCAAGCTTCCTCATTTCTGTTTTCTCATTCTCTCTCCAGAGAGAGAGATATAAATTTTTCTCTCATCTCTTTCCTTAAATCTTCGCCCGAAGAGAAACGATCACCGACCGGCCGCCTTGTTCCGGCACCGATAGCCACCGCCGACCACCGTACATGGTGGCCGAAAATTACATATCTACCCTAAATCAAAGCCCCAATTACCCTAAAGCCAAATCTAGTGGGTTTTTAGCCTAAAAACTCCCAAATCGGCCTAGATCTACACAAAACCGAAGAATTTACCTTGGTTTTCACAAAGTCTTCTGATGGTTTCACGACTGTGGTAAGTTTCCTTCTTTTTTTTATTTCGAATGGTTGCTTGTTGTTTGGTGGTTGTTTGCTTTGTTGATTCCTCGTTTTTTTTTCTTGCTATCTTCGTGTGGTTGTGCTTCCTCGGCTCTCGTTTCTAGTTTGTGCTCTGTTGGTCTCTTCTTCTTTCTTTTGCAGGTGAGGTGGTGGCTTTATAGGCCACCACGATTCTTGTCTCGGACCGGTCGAAAAGGGATACCCTAGCTGAGTCATCGGACTATGTTGGTGACTCACCATAGGGCTTTGACATGGGGCGGTGATGGGCTCTTCTAGAGGCTTCAACGGGACATGGCGTGGCACTGTAGCGTACGTATCGGCTGGTTGGACCATCTGGCTTGGGAGGTGTCGGCAGCAGCTGGAGGAGGCACCTGGAAGAAGCTTCTGGAAGCAGTGGCGGCTGGGGCTAGGGTTAGAAAACCCTAGCTGAAATATTACAAACCCTAAAGGGTTTGGGTCATCTATTGGGCTAGATGTTGGGCTTCGGGTTTTGTAATATATTTGGGTTTGTATATTTTTTTTATTTAATAATAATAATAATAGTAATAATAATAAAATAATAATAATAAAAATAATAATATGCTGAAAAAATTAATATCTACAGTTTATGCTCGTTAAAATTTTAAATTATATTTTTTATTAAAATTATGTATATTTGTATTTGTTATATAATATTTGTGAAATCTGTATTGTGTTCATTTGACATATTTGTAAACATTAGAAAGATATAAAATATGAATTTATTCATGAATAACAAACAAACAAATAAATCATAAATGAATATTATTTCTTTTTTTAAATAATAATATATAAACATTAGAAATTATATTATAGAAAAATATGATAAATTCTTAATACTAAAATAAGTGTCGGGATTATTTTTTTTCCGAATATGTGTCTAAACTATTTTTTAACTTATCTTGGTGCCTAAGATTTTCTCCGTTACTATTTTAGGTTCCTAACATTTTCTCCATTACAATTTTAGGTGCCCGGACGTTAACCATTGTTAAAAACCCCGTTAAGTAACACATGTCACGTTCTGGTAATTTTAAAAATATTTATTTAAAATAAAAATATATAATTTTAAAAAAAAAACTATTTTTTTCAAATCTTAAAAAAACTCAACTTTTAAAACCTTAATTTTACTCTCTCTACCACCGCCAGCCACTATTAACACTGTCAATCGATTAAACACTCAACATGTGACAAGCCAACCAACCCCGAACAAAACCCTCATACTTTTACAACCGATCAAGTACCTAATCCTTCTAATTTATAAATTCCTAAACTTAATGCCCTTCTTCCTAACTATAATCCAAAATTTATTATTAATCGAAGCATGGGATGATGGGGAGAGCACAGGCAAAGGACATGATGGGGAAGAGCACCGGCGAAGGGGAATGCGGCGGGGTGGGGGCGTTGGAATTGTGTAGTTTTTTTTAATTTAAAAAATACTTTTTAAAAAATAAAATCTTCAAAATTATCAAAATATAATACGTGTCATTTAACGAAATTTTTAACAGTGGTTAACTCTTGAACACCTAAAATGAGAATGAAGGAAATGTTATGCACCTAAAATGATAACGGAGAAAACATTAGACATTAGAATGAGTAAAAAAAATAATTTAGGCACCTATTCGAGAAAAATGATATAGTTTGCACACTCTTTTTGATATTAAACCTATGATAAATATAATTACTTGTAATCATTCTAGATTAATTAACATAAAAAATAAATTTTAAAAATAAATAAATGACCATCGATTCATATTTATTTAAACTCGTTGGTCTAATAAATAAACATGAATTTTTTTTATTGAACTCATTTATTTTATGGTTGAAGAACCTTCCCCAGCTTTATGATAGCCCAAGTAGGTTTAGGGTAAGCCCAGTCTGGAGTGCTAAATCCGGATAAGACGATGTCCACCATCTCCTTTGGTGAATCATTATACAAAAATCACTGTGTGATTCTCTGTTGGGGAAACTCCTCCAGGTAGGTCCCTTTAATTCTCTTACTTCTCGTGTTTTTCTTCGCCGGATCTGATCAATTTCGGCTAAAGAAGTTAATCATGTCTTTTAGGTTGCCTGCTTCTGTCTTCTCGTTTGTTTTCTTAGTTTCTTGATTATTTATTGAACGTGTTGAATAATTTATTGAAAGAGTGAGATCTGCAGAATTAGAAGATCGAAATTGAAAAAGGAAACCCCTTTTCCTTTTACTCCGTCTTCTTGAACTAAGCTTGGATGGAGCTCTGATTAGGGAATATGTATTTGTGTTTAATTGTTGATCTTTTTTTTCTTGGTATTATTCAATGACGGCGTTACGGACAATCAGTCTTGTTTCTATGCCTTAAATTATAGAAAATTTGGTATTGCTTATTGCTGATGACAGTGAAAAGTGATCTCTAATCCAATAATAATCAATTTACTTTTTTTGGGGTATTTTTTTTAGTGATGTAGTTAATATTAATGAGAATAGGTTGTGGGGGGGGGGGAGATGACAATTTCATTCTTTTTTGCTTCTAAATCAAAACCAACTAATATTGCTGGATCTTGATATTTGTTTGTTGTAGTGCTTAATATCTTAGGAATTTGCTTGTATCCAGTGAGAAATAAAATTGAAGGAATGAAAATCATATTGTTCTTGGAAGCCATTAATAATGTTCACTTTGCAGATTGTTATCCGTGATGCTGAAAAAATTAGCTAATTTGATGTCTGTGAGAGGGTTTTTTTCTTTTCAGTTTTTTTCGAAGAGAAAGCAATGTCAACTGGAAGAAATACCCATTGGTGTTATAGATGCAGGTGCCCAGTTTTCCTTCAAGGGCACGATGCAGTTTGCTGCTATTGCGGTGGGGGATTTGTTCAACAATTGGATGAAATGGTGCATATTGATCGTACAGATTTTTTTAATGATGAAGATCGGGGTCGGAGGTTTGGTCTCCTGGATGCTTTTTCAGTCTTCATGAGGCAGCGAATGGCCAACAGAAATTTTAACCGTAACACCAGGGGAAGAGCAGAGTCGGTTCCAGAGCATGATGTGGCACTTGGTCCTATGTTGATTTTTGGTGGTCAAATTCCTTTTAGATTGTCTGGGGCTGGTGGTGTTGAAGCTCTTTTCAGTGGGGCTCCTGGAATCGGTTTAACACGAGGTTATTCCGGGGATTATTTTATAGGTCCTGGAGTAGAGGATTTGTTTGAACAACTCTCAGCTAATGATCGGAGGGGCCCTCCCCCGGCTTCCCAGACTTCGATTGATGCAATGCCCACTGTTAAGATAACTAGAAGGCATCTTCACTCTGATTTGCAGTGTCCTGTTTGTAAAGACAAATTTGAACTGGGGTCTGAAGCCAGACAGATGCCATGCAATCACATGTATCATTCAGATTGCATCACCCCATGGCTGGAGCAGCACAACACTTGTCCTGTTTGTCGACAGGAATTGCCACCGCAAGGATCGGGCAGCAGGCGTTCAAATGGTCAAAGTGGAACTACTTCCAGTGGAAGGGAGAGCAGACGGAATCCATGGTCTTACATATGGCCGTTCCGTTCATCAAATTCTAGCTCAAGCCCTAACCATAGCCGTAGCCATAATGAAGGTGGTGGAAGCAGCCCTTCTGGTGTGGATGAGAACAATCATTATCATTCGATGGGCTATAGTGGATGGCCTTTTGACTGAGTTGTGTGTATCAAGTAGGTTGTTTTTCTTTGTGTTGTATTGAGTGTGTAAAAGTGATCTGAGCTCAATTTCATCATCCAACAAAATGTTTAGATAAATCTTGCAACGTGGCAGGGTACTATCTCATATGTTCAAACTAATCTCTGGTCTTTCACATTTGAATAAAGTATGTATATGTAAGGTTAGAGGTGTCCATGTGATCACTTTGGTTAACCGAATATAATTTCTAATATTATGGACTCAATTGAATACTTTTTATATATCAAACATCATTTTTGTTAACCTATGTTTGTCTTTTTTCAGGAATCAAAGCTTAGTGTGGTTGAGGATTGGTTTTGCAAAACAGGTATGGGGTCGGGGCTCTTTTGATTTTTATGTCTCCCCGACAATTGGGTCCTCTGGGGTTTGATTAGCATTTAGGATTCTAGCTATTTCCAGTTATCCCAAAAGGTCATTATGAATAGGTGAATAGCTCTAATTGGGAAAACCCAAGGTTTTGACAAGTGAAGTGGCTTTATTAACATCTATGGATCATCGGTGGTATAAAAAATAACATTTTTCTCGGAAGTGGCTTTAATTTTAGCGGGTTTTGAGATACTGTGGTGCATCAGTGGGGAATTTTTAATGCCTTCTTGCATCTGGAGAAAAAGCAGAGTTTCTCTCTAAACCGTAATTCCATAGATTCTTTCAAGGGTTCATTCAGGATACCGAGCTTATTGAATTTCCTCTTTACACCTGTAAGTTTGCTTGGATTAACTCCAGGGACCCTCTCTCGTTTGTCCGATTAGAAAGGTTCATCTTATCTTCATCTTTTCTCTAGTCGTTTCCTTCTTTATTTCGATGTATCTCTGACAAATTATTTTTGGATCACAATGCTATGGTATTATGTGAAGTTTGCTTGAATTGAGGTCCTAGACCTTTTAAGTGTTTTAATTATTGGTTGAATATGGCTGGTTTTGAGGATGTTGTCTCCAAATCTATCTTGGATTGTAAGAAAGGAGGGAGTAGAACCAGAATTGGAGGGCTCTTGAAATGTACAAAAAATTCAATTCAATCTTGGTCAAAGCTTTCGAATCATGACTTTAAAGAGTCAATTGCTACGTTGGAAAGTGCTATTAATTCACTAGAAGGGTTGCTCCAAAGCGGTTCAGAAGATAGTTCTTTTAAGGGAGAACTTTCCAAGTTGCAGGGAAAACTTTGGTCTGAGTTGAGGAATGAGGAGCGAGCTTGGTGGAAAAAATCTAGGGTGAAGTGGCTAAACAAGGGAGATAAAAACACTTGCTTTTTACAGTTAATTGCCTCTAATCTTCGGAACTCCAACGTAAATTTTCCTTGAAGATTGGGGGCAACCAAACTATTTCTGATCCGATAACCATCAAATCAAGCGTTTGCGAGTATTTCAGAAAGTTTTACTGCAAAAAATTAGAGCAGGAAGTGGCTGAGCTGAATTTGAGTTTTAATAAACTTCATGGGTCCCAATTTGATTTACTAGAGGTGAAATTCTAGGAAGAGAAAATTGGGCAGATGATTTTCTCCTTTGGTAACATGTCTGCTCTGGGCATGGATGGCTGTAATGTTGGTTTCTTCCAAAGGTTCTGGCATATCCTTAAAGAAGATATCGGTAGTTTCTTCGATGATTTTTATCACCATAGTAGATGAGAAACATGCATAAATAACTCTTTTATAACCCTAATCCCGAAGAAAATCAACCCTGAGCAGTTGGAAAACTATTTTCCTATTAGTCTGGTCGATGGTTTGTACAAGATACTCGCTAAAGTTCTAGCTAATAAGCTTCGGCGCTGCATGGATGGGTTAATCAGTAAATCTTAATTTACTTTTTTCTCGGGCCGTAAGATATTGGACTATTCTTTGATTGCAAATGAAACTATAAATTATCTAGTGAAATCTAAGAAGAGTGGAATAACATTCAAAATTGACTTCCAAAAGGCCTATGATACGGTTGATTGGGTGTTTCTCATGAAAAATGTATCGGAAATGGGATTTGGTGAAAGATGGAGAAAATAGATTTTTCAGTGCATTTTCACTGCACATATAACAGTTCTAATAAATGGTTCCCTACTGAGTTTTCAGAACTCAATGGGCCTTCGGCAAGGGAGCATACTATCCCCTTTATTGTTCAATATTGTGGGAGAAGCGTTAAGCCAAATATTATCCAAAATCCTTCGTTCTCATCTCTTCTGGGGGTTTTTATAGTCTCGAGCACTAACTCGGTGTGCATATATCATCTACAATATGTGGATGATCTATTGATTTCCTGTGGGGCGAATGAATCCCAATTCCTTAATATAAAAAGAGTGTTATGTGTCTTCGAGCTCGCATCTGGTCATAAAGTTAATCTTAAAAGAGTAAAATTTTTGGTCTCAGCGTTGTTCATTCGAATTTGGGCAAGTGGGCAGCCTCAACTGGTTGTACCGTGGGTGTTCCTCCTTCGGACTATCTAAGGCTATCTCTTGGAGGAAAGAGAAATTCGGTCGCTCTGTGGGAACCAGTTATTAGTAAATTTTATAGGAGGCTTGCCAACTGGAAATCAAAAACTCATTCTTGGGTCTGCTTAAGCTAATGAAAGCAGTCATCTCTAGCCTTTTGGTCTATTTTTTTTCTCATTATTCTGTCTCATAGTTGTTGTCCTACATTAATTTAACTCATTTTGTTTAATTTCCTGTGGGGCAGTTCCCAGAACATGAGAAAGATTCACTGGTTAAAATGGTCTGAGGTTTGTTCCCCTTGAAAGTTCAGGGGTTTAGGTGTTGCTAATTTCTCCTTAAAAAACAGGGCACTCCTTGGTAAATGGGTGTGGAGTTCTAGGAAAGAGAGGGAAAATTTATAGAGACATGTAATCGTAAATAAAAATATGGATGGTACAATTCGTTGCTTCTTGCGGCTACGCCCTTATATGGTAAGATTTGGAACTGCATCGGAAACGTACACCCGATTAACTTACTCCATCGAGTCTTAATGCATTTGCGTCCAGTCAATTGTGAAGTGCCTTGGCACTGACTAGGATATCTAATTGACTGTCGTATTTTGCTAAAAAGACTCGGGTGTCCCGACTGTTTCCCGAGTGTCAAACAAGACTAGTTTTATGTACTCATAGCTGTTATTGTTTCTAATTGTTCTGAAATTAATTATTGTTCTCACTTGTAGTTTTATATGATGATATACTGATGTTTTTGGGCCCCTCAATTCTAATCCCTTAACCCTTGGATTACCTATCCAAAATTGTTCGTTGGTATTGATACTGACCCTTCAATATCAATCTGAACCTTGAGTATCGATACCCACCTGTTGGTATCGATACCTACTGGATATAATGGATTGATATGGGAGGGTGGTATCAATACTCCTAGCTGAGTATCGATACTCCTAGTGTTGGGGTATGATATTGTCCTAAGTATCGATATCGTAATTATGTTTGATGTTTTAAAAAATACATCAGTATCGATACCCCTATCGGGAGTATCAATTCTACCATGGGTATCGGTACTCCATTGAGCATCGATACTAAAAATGTATTATGGAATATGATTTGTGCCCCTAGTATTGATATCATCCTGTGAGTATCGAGACTGGACCTACAATATAGATACTCTCTGAATGAGTATCGATACTCATTTCCCAAAACTCTCATATTTTTACTCTTGATGATGAACAATATTGGTATTGTTTTTCAGTACCGATACTTGTGCCAAAAATGCCTTATTTTCGACGCAAAAAATGCTAACTTCCTACCCCCAAAGGTCGTACTGAGGTTCCCAATTGTTATTTAAGTCTTATTTATGATTGAGAGATCATAAAAGAGATTTTTACTAGTTGAAAACATAAAAAGATGCAAGCTACCATGAAATGTTTCATAACTCATGCAACCTACCAAAACTTATCTAATGAACTACATGTGGTAGAGTTGAGTTAAAAGTGTGTAACATGATGTTCTAAGCTGTTGAGAACTCCCAAGGCTCAATCAAGAGTAAGCTTCTCCATTACCCTAGCCTTGGAGCTTTCTCCAACTTCTCTCACTAAGAAAAATCAAACATATAGGTTAAAAACATTAAGAAGAGTTTATAAATGAGTTTAAAACATTCCTAGAGGTCTGAATCTTCAAAAAAACGAGATGGTTTCACTTAGGTTTATAAAACCCCACTAAACCCTCTTTTGGCTACCTCAGTGAAATATGAAGATTAATGACTTGAATTGAAACTTGAGAAGAACATGATATGATTCTTACCTTGGTTTGATGAGAAATGTTTATTACCTTGGTTTGATGAGAAATGTTTCTTTCCTTTACTTAGGTTGCTAAGAAGATGAAAGCTTTGGGAGAAGAATACAAAGTTTGTGAAGAAAAATAGGTGAGAGAAATGTAAGACGTGAGGTCACCCAAATAAATGGGTTTTCAGCCTTTTGAAAAATGGTATAATCACCTCATTGGTCCTCCTAACTTTGGTCAATTCTAAAAAATCTCCTTTTTTATCAACTATTGGGCTGAAACCAAGTCCAATTCCACTCTAATTTGGGTTAAGGCTTCCTATAAGCTAAGGAATTTATTCAAGCCCATCTCGAGTTAACCCTAAACTTTTAACCTAGAATTTGAAGCATTAAACTAGGTTGATTAAACTAACATTGATGGGGCGTGGTCGACTATGCGAAATGCTGGGGGCATCAGAGGTTTGTTTAGGGCTTTAGATTGATTCAGGAAATTCAAAATTATTATTGAAAGTGGTTATGAGATTGTTGGTAAATGGATAATTGAGCCCTCTATGACTCCCAACAATTTTTAAACGAGGTTCTTGTTATTTCCTTATATATATCCATGGTTTGGCTTGTGGTTCGACATATCCCGAAATACATAAATATCGAAACTAACGCTCTTGCAAAAGCTTGGGTGAGGAAATTATGGCGGTTGCTCAACTCCTTGGTTTTTTGTTTAGTGGCTCTTTGGTTTGTATTATGGGTGTCAGTGGCAGATCTAGAAATTTATAAATAGGGGTCCAAAATTTTAATTTTCTTTTCTTAAAAATAATGGGGGTGTAAAAAAAAATTTCTTCCATTTTTCTTTAACATATTATACTAAATTTCACTTTTTTTTCTTAAATAATGGGAATGCACTTGACCCCCTAGGGGGCTTAGTGCATCCGCCCCTAATGGGTGCTTGTTTTAGGTTGCTTAATGCTATTGCATCGACATTGTAATATTTTATT